AAAAGGCTTTAAAAAGGCTGAGTCTGATCACATCAACATTCCTCACTGGTGAAGACCCTCAGTGGCCCTGCATCATTTGCAAGGGGGCCACAGTCTTTAATATGACCCTCCCAACTCTCATCCTGGTCTTCCTCCCTGGCCCACCTCTCACCCTGGGAAGTGCCTGGGGGGAACAACGCCACTATCTGTAGAGCCCAGGGAAGCCCTACTGCCCTCTCAGACGGTCTGCTTGTGTGAGTGACACCAGGTGACACTGTTCTCCTTCCTTCATGGCACTTGCCACCACCCTGAAGTCACGCGTGTCTGTGTTTATTCTATGAGTGTCTGTTTCCTTCCCTGGACTGCACCAGGACCAGCCCCACGTCTGCTCACCCTGTAGCCCTAGGGACTGGCATGAAGGACATTCTCGGGACCTATCTGCTGAATATTCTTGTTTGCCCCATGGGTAGCCTCGCATGGAAAGCAAGATTTCATCAAGAATTCTTTTATGTCTTGAGATAAATAATACTGACCCCAAGGTATTTTTTTATTTTGATTTTTCATTTGTAGAGTCAATGTGCCCATCATGTTGATAAACAGGTTGCCTACCTGCTCATCCTCCTGGGGATCTGAATGTCTAGAAGTGCGTAGACCAGACGTCTTAGACAATGATGGGGCCTCCCAGTGTACATTTTCTGTTTGACTGTTGCCTATAGCATTGCATCTGTAGGTGGTGCTCAGCATGTGTTTGCTGATTTGTTCATTTTATATTACGTTCATTTAAGCATGTAACCAGGCCAGCCCCACAGCGCAGTGGTTAAACGCTATGCAGAGGTACCCAGGGCCCACATGGCTTGCAACGGTTCAAATCCTGGCCCCAGTGGGTTGAAAAACATGCCAGGCACATCTATGGTCAGGATCCTGGCCAGATAGAGAAACGGAGGGAGAAAGGATTGTGGCATAGGCAGGTCCCTTTGGCGGAATAGTATGTACACGCTCACTGCTGTGCACATGCGCCCTCTGGCCAGAAAAAAAAAGTGTGTCAGCCCAGTATAGAGTTTGAAAAAAACAGGGAAAAAATGACAACACTACCACTCAAACTCAACCTTTGTTATCATTTTAGTATGATACCTTCGGGTCTTTTTATATCCATTTTTAACAGTGCCTTAGTCACAGTGCACATAAAATTTTGTGTCTTGCTTTCTTTTCCTCCTAGGTAACCTTACTGCTGATTAATTCAGTTATTGTATATGACATGAACCATGAGCCTAATTTATTCAACTCAGTATTCAAGACTGCATTTGTGGAGTTCAATATTCAATAAACATTCATGAATAAAACAGACGGTGCGCGTTATCATTCTATATACCAAATACCATTCAAAGAAAATACACAGATTCGGTGCACTGACCATACTGCAATAGAATACCATAGTTACAGAGCAATTAGGAACTTCTTTTTACTTCAGTGATATATTTTGTGGCATCTCCTTCCTCTCCATCCCAGAAGGGATAAGCAACATTTCTCTCCATTTGTTTGGTAGCTTCTTTGTTCATTTTTTCAGCAAATTTATTAGGGCTTACCACGTGCCAGGCACTCCTGCGTACCAGAGATATGACAGTCAGTGAAAGTCCCTGCATTGTAGTGGGAGGAGCCAGACAAGAGCAAACAGATTGGTTAGTGGATGAATGAATGAGTCAGGTGATACGTAGAAAAAAAATAAAAAGTAGGGTGAGGGCCGGGCCAGGAAGTGGCATGGTAGTTAAGGCACTGGATTCCCACGTGGCCTACCGCAGTTCATGTTCTGAAACTTGTGGCCTGAAAATCACGCCAGGCACACGTGCATGCCCAAAATCCCGAGGGGAGACTGCAGGAGAAGGTATTGGGCATGACCACCCCTGGGATGGTTTCTCCCTTTCCCTCTCTCTCTTTCTCTCCTGGGAGCCCATGCCCTCTAGAAAAAACATTAAAAAAAAGAGTAGAGTGAGGGGTTGGGTGATAGTGTGGGCGGAGGAGCTGCTCTTCCGCCAAGTCAGGGAAGGCCTCTCAACGGTGACACTTGGCGGAGGACGAAATGGAGCGGGGGATGTTCTGTGCAGCTGTCTGGGGGAAGACTTCCCAGCAAAGGGGTCATAGGTGCAAACGCCCTCGGGTTAGACTGCGCTTGGCATTTTCAGGGAATTAGCTAGCCAGTGAGAGGGCAGTGAGGGGAGGTGATGGAACAGCTGAAGCCCGTGAGCTGGAGGGACAGGGTGAGAGATACTGGAGGCTCTCACTGGCATGGTGAGGTCTCTGGCCTTTCGTCTGAGTGAGATGGAATATGCAGGCTGAGTATCCCTCGGACTCTGGATTTCTTTAGACTCGGGAATATTTGCACTTACCCAACAACGTATCTTGGGGGTGGGACCCAGGTTTAAACATGAAATTCATTCCTCTTTAAATACCTTATTCGCATAGCCCGAAGGTGATTTTATAGTCTTTTTTGGATTGCAGATTTTTTTCTTAATAAAGAGTTATTTAATTTTTATTTATTTATTTATTTTTGCATCATTGTTATTTATTTAATTTGACCAGAGAGAAAGAAAGGGAAAGTGAGAAAGCAAGCCCCCAGGTCCAGGACTCAAACTTCAGTCAGCCGGGTGGAAGCCCAGCACCTTAACCACCACACTACCTGCTGGCCTCTATATTGCAGAATTTTGACTGTGACCTGTCACATGAGGTCAGGTGTGGAATTCCCCACTGTGGCAGCATATTGGTGCTCAAAAGTTTTTAGAGCGTCTCGGTTTGGGATTTTCAGATTGGGTTGCTCAGCCCGTAGTGGAATAGCGACGTGATCTGACTCACTGACAGGACCCCTTCACTCTCAGCCTTCCTTTTCCTGCCCTGCACCTCCACCCTGGCCAGCCTCTGAGTGAGCGACTTTGCACCCGAGTCCGTAGATTTTCTTCTAGACACTTGCATGTTGTGCTCGTAATGTGAAGTGCTCGTTCCTCACGTGGGCGTGGACGGGGTGATGACAGCCACACTGCTGCTGTCACAGAATCAGAGCTGGTTACCGCCCCGAGAAACTAGGCACATGCCACGTATTTGAAACACGGTGACCTCAATTTCCCATTTATCTTTTGATTATTTGAGGCGATTTTTCCACTGAAAATGGCTATCAAATTCATTTTTCAAATTGCATAAAAAATTAACCTAGTAAGTCTTACTATAATTATTGTGTGTTCTTCAACCCCTGACATTCTAGAAGCTAGCTTTTTTTTTTTTTTTTGGTAAGTGGGGGGGGGTGGTGGGAGGTGAAGGGGTAACCTAATTATAATCTTCCTTGAATTGTTTTATGTTTAGATCCGTCACATGCCAAAGTTAGATCCCATTAGCAGGCTTAAACGTTTATTTCTCAAAGAACAAACTGTTGCGGGTTGCTTAGGGTAATTGATTTCTTTTGTTTTCTTTCTGTTACAGGAGGAGACATCACAGCTTTCCCAGGTTGGGAGGAAAAATATGGAATGTGTTTTCCCGCTGACTGAACACAGCCAAATGAACTGTACTGACAGTAGTTTGAAAACCAGCAGTTAGCAGTTTGTTCAGGCTCTAGCACTGTCCAGCACTTTCCAGAGCAAACGCACTGTTTACAAGAACTCCCAGCCTTACGAAGTGTAGAACCTCAAGCGTGATTTATTTAAAATATTTCTGCAAGAGAGAAGTACCTGGAACCCACTTTCCAAAATGGCCATGGATGAATATTTGTGGATGGTCATTTTGGGTTTTATCATAGCTTTCATCTTGGCATTTTCTGTTGGTGCAAATGACGTTGCCAATTCATTTGGTACTGCTGTGGGCTCTGGCGTGGTGACCCTGAGGCAGGCGTGCATTTTGGCTTCAATATTTGAAACCACTGGCTCCGTGTTGTTGGGAGCCAAAGTGGGAGAGACCATTCGAAAAGGTATCATTGATGTGAACCTGTACAACGAGACAGTAGAAACGCTTATGGCTGGGGAAGTTAGCGCGATGGTTGGTAAGTACGTGGCTTTGCTCGCCACCCCGGGAGGGTGTCCCCCTCCCTGCTGCCCTAAGAGCTTCTGCCTTATCCATAAATGAGATTGTTGATTTCAGCTTTCAAAACTGCTTTGAATTTCACATTCACTATCTTACTTTTGCTTCCTGCATTTTCATTTTGATAATGATTTTTCTAAGTTTTTAAATATCAAGCAAACTTATTTTTCTCAAACATTTAACAAACTCGGTTGTTAAAATAGATTTGGGCTATATGAATATTTTTCAGGAAAGTATTCTTTTCATACAGAAAAAGATATTTGTAGACAAGCTCTTAGAACTTTTTAGTTGTTTCAGAGTTGACGTTATTAAATAGCATGTCTAAGTGAACTTGTTTAAAGGTTTACTGATAAAATTTCCTTAAGGTTGATTTATATTTTTTTATATTTATAATTTTTAAAGATTTTTTTCATTAATTAGGATGTAATTGAAATTGCAACTGCCTTAAAAACATGGATGTCAAAAAACAATATTGATTAGTTTAACTTTTATATTCTTAATCTGAGTTTTAGAGTAGTTACCCAGTGATTCCTTTTTTTAAAAAAGGTATTGCTTTATTTTGTTTGTGTTTTTGGTTTTGTTTGTTTGCCTTAAGATGTGTGCACTTGCTAGAGAGAGAAAGAGACAGTGAGAGGGAAAGGGAGAAGTCATCTACCAGGGGGTGTGGCCATGCCTCAGTCCCTCCTCCTCCATTCTCCTCCTGGGATCTTGGACATGCACACACATGTGCCCAGTGTGATTTTCAGGCCACCAGGTCCAGGACTTGAACTGCGGTCAGTCATGTGGGAGTCCAGCGATATAACTGCTAAGCCATCGGGTTGGCCCCATTTTTTTTTTAAAGCTTTTTGCTATAGGCCACATGCACTTGTCAGAGAGGATAGAGACAGTGAGAGGGAAAGTGAGAAATCATCCCCCAGAGGGGATGACTGTGCCTCAATCCCTTCTCTTCCATTCTCCTCCTGGAATTTTGGGCACATACTCACATGTGCCTGGCATGATTTTCAGTCACTGGATCCAGGACTTGAACCACAGTTGGCCATATGGGAATCCAGCACCTTAACAACCATGCCACCTGCTGGTCCCCCAAAGGATAATTTGCATGGCCCTTGTTTGTAGACGACCTTCTGTTGGTAGTTTTAAGTTGTGTAAATGAAGAGAAGCAATGGGGTGAGTGAACCACACTCACAAGCAGATTGTCGTGGTTCCTCCACAGCCCAAGGTGACCGTAGACGGGACACACTGTGGGCGCTTCCTTCACTGCCTTCGCTGCTCAGAAAAGAAAGCTCAGGCAGCTGGCAGGACTCCTTCTCCGCTTGACTCTAGGCAGAGACATCCGCAGACAGCTGAGCTATATGGGTAACCGGGGGAGGGAGGAGAGGGCTAGAGAGGAGCCCCCACCTTCCGCTCTCAGCAGGGCGTAGCCTTGGTAGGAAGAGTCCTGCAGGGGAGGTAAGATACTCATGGACGAAGAGTACAGGTCCCTAGCATTTCACTGTCACAGCCTTTCTTAAGCACCCAGAATGTGGGGACTGTTCGCCAAGCTGAAGATGTCCCACTGTCCCAGACAGTTGGCTTGCCATGGTGTTGAGGCATCTGGTCTGAAGAGACCAACGTGCCGGGGTGTTTTCTACGGCTGAGCACAGGAGGCTGCGGTCCGGGCAAAGGGAGGAGCTCGTTTCACAGCTTGGCGTTTTGTGTTGTGGAAGGTTCAGGCTCGCTTCAATTCCGACAGTGATCGCAGTAATTGAATTTTACTTAGCATCACTGAACATGGACATGAGTCTTCAGAAAGTTCACAATGTGTGTTATGAAAAACTATGCATTTATTTGTACCAAAAACAAATCACATGCAAATTCCATTTTCCACGAACTTTTTGAAGTCCCCGCGTAGTTCTCAGTGCAGTCAGATATAATTGAAGTATCCCTTAGAAAAAGATTATTTGTAAAATTCACCCTTAGCAGTCATGCCTAGTTTTCTAAGATTTAACCTTTTTAAAATTATTTCTTTATTTAGTTGTATTTGTTGTTATTTCATTTTTTACTTTGACCAAAGAGACAGAGAGAGTGAGAGAAGGGGAAAGTGAGAAAGTAAGTGACCAGGTCTGGGACTTGAACCACAGTCAGCCACATGGGAGTCCAGCACCTTAACCACCATGCCACCTCTAGTCCCTCTAAGATTTAATCTTATCAAGCTGAAATTAAGATGTTTTTCCAGTTGGGGTGATGTGGGCAAGATGTTGAAAATATGAGAGAAATAAAGAAAAACACTGACAAAATTTAATCTTAGCCAAAGTGATTTTTTCCTTTTGTTGGATGAAATATTTCAGGAATGGTGATGCTCATTAAGGAGGTGTGTCTGGGGGCTGGCAGGTGGCCTGATGGTTAAGGCCCTAGACTCCCACACGGCTGACTGCGGGTCAGGTCCCAGACCTGGTGGCTTGCTTTCTTACTTTCTATTTCTCTCTCTGTCTCTCTCTGGTTAAATTTTTTAAAAATAATAACACATTTTTTAAATGGATGAATCTTAAAAATTTAAAAAAAAAAAAAAAGGCACGTCCGCGGCAATGCCGAGGAGTCAGACGGCAGTGGTGTGCACCGAGCCGCAGGGCACTGTGAGGTTTTTGTATGGACAGTGACTTGCCCAGTGTTTGGTTTTCCCACCCCTGGCCCTTGGCTCTTAAATAAAAGAATGAAGCATGCTTAACCTCAACTGGAATTTGGGTTTACCAAAGCAATTTGGGGTTTGCTTGAATAACTTGATTTTGTTTGGTTTGGTTTCTTTTTTCTTTGTTTTATCTTTTTGGTGTGTGGTTAGATGAATCTCAAAGTCTTATTTTGCTGGGAATTTGTATGTTACCTAGATTTTTAAAAACTGGTTCCTAGCAAACAGGACCTGTGTGTACTTAGGGTGGTGGTGTCATTAGTTATTGACTGAAACCAAAGCTAATTGTGTTCAGAAGATTGAAGTCTCCCAGTCATTTTTCTTCTAAATTCAACATCCATTTTTCCTTCTCCCTTCTGTTCTGGCTTTCTCTTTTTTCTTTGGTAACTTTCTCCTCAAGCCCACAGGCTTCTGTCTTCCCATAGCCTTATGACAGAGTTAGGCGGCTGGGAGAGCTGTCGGCCTCAGCTGACCCTCCTGAGCTGGTGTCTTCTGCTCAGCCCTCGAACAATCTAGTCAGCTCACTTGGTGTGAAATCACCAGTGCTGCCGAACATCTACTGAAAGCTCCGAACTCGATATCTTCCCACAGAAGTGCCCCCATGAGCACTGGGAGACCTTTCCTTGAGCCTCCTTGAGACATGCACAGTCCCCTCCAGCTCCTTCTGTTCCTGGGAGTCCTCCCAGCCTCTTTTCTGCGCCATAACCCTGAGCCCTCCCAGAACACGTTGCCTCAGTGGTGCCAACTCCCCGCTTTCCCTGGGTCCAACCTTGCCCCTCATCCTTCGCTGAGCCCTTTCCCCCTGTAGCTTCTGTTATCTATGTTAATATCCCGTTCTCCCCGCTGTCTTCTCCACATCCACGTGACCCCGTTTCCCTTTCCCTCCAGGCATCCCCAAGTGCAGTAGGCCCCCCACTAACAGCTGCCTCCATCGCCCCGCCCCCGTCAGCCGCTCCTCCCACGCCCCCATCCTGGCTTTCCCTATAAACTCACTGCTCCCGAACTTTTATCATGAAGTCAGCCAGAGAAAGGGTAGCAGGGTTTAGGAAGGAGCACCTGTGGCTCTGGATTCAGTTGGGTGAGTTTCCATCCTACTTCTCTTACACCACTAGGTTATTTGAATTTTTGTTAGAATAGAAGCCCTGAAGGTTTTTTGTTGTTGTTTTGTTTTGTTTTTAAAGAGAGCTCTTTTTTACTATAGGTAGGTGTGATTGCTGGAAAGACAGACAGGGAGAAAGTGAGAAATCACCCCAGAGGGAGAATGGCCGCACCACAGTCCCTTCTCTTCCATTCTCTTCTTGGGATTTTGGGCATGCACTCACCCAAAAGAGAGAGAGAGCGAAAGTGAGAAAGAAGCCACCAGGTCTGGGACTCAAACTGCAGTCAGCCATGTGGGAAGTTCAATACCTCAACTACCACACCACCTACTTCCCACACCTTTAGCTCCTTTAACAAGCCTTTCTTTGAAATTCTTTCTTCCTTTGGCTTTCTTGATATACCAGCTTTTCTTTTCTTTTTTTCTTTTTTATTTTTTTAATTTGCCATAAGGTACATGCACGCACGCACACGCACGTGACATGAGTTTAACTCACTGGGCCTGGGACTCGAACCGCAGTCGACTACATGGGAGTCCAGCAACATAGCCATCACGCCAACTGCTGGTCCAAGTGTATTTTTTAAGTTACGGTTCTGGGCCACGAAACCTGCTGCAGACTCTTGCTCTGTTTTCATGACGAGGCCATGAGGAGCCCAGGGCTCAGGTGTGAAGCTTGGGGAGCTGTCAACGGGGAAGCCTGCTGCTGCCATGAGGCAGTGCCAGCTTGGCAGTACAGGCCGACCCCTCCTCCCAGCTCCACTCAGGGATAGACCAGGGTCACGGGCGCGGCTCAAAGGTCAGCATACCAGCACTCCGGAGCAGCTGCCTGTGCTGCTTCAGGACCCGCGCACACTCCTCTAGCCCGGTGTGTGTGGAGGAAGTGCCAGGGGGCCGCTGCGAGGAGCTGCTGCTGCCCAGCAACCAGGTTTCCAGAATTAACCTTCGGGATTAGTGAGCCGGCTTTAGCAGCATGGCCCTTTGTTCCCTTCCAGTCCTGCAGAGCTGTCCAACTGTTTCTGAAAGGGATCTCTCCCAGCTGATGCTTTTAATACACACTGCAAAATTTGATCTGCTTATGGAAATATCTGCAGTGAACCATAGCCTAGAAAACAGTAAGCCCAGGGAGGGGTGGTGGAGTCGAGGTAAAGGACGCAGAGGGAGCCTCTGAGCACTGAGACCTAGGAGTCCTCGCGGAGTGTGCAGATAAAAGGCCTGACATTCTGGGCAGGGCCTGAGCGCACATGCCCAGCCCTGGGTTACCTGTGATGGGTACTTCTCAGGTGAGGAGCGGGAACCTAAAGCAGCATGATGTCACACTCACAGAGATGGCCGCGACCTCCTCGGTACATGACTACGCGACCTCCAGCCCTCCTCCTGTACAGGGCCTTCCTTACCTCCCTGCGTCCGCTAGGCTGGAACTTCCTGCTTGGTTTTGGCCAGACTTCACACATAACTAAGGCACCCTCAGCACCCTCGCCTCACCTGGAGGTGACAGGCTGGCAGTCGCTGGCATGAGGGGCTTATCCGAGTGAAAGAAGAGGCGGCCGCTCCTTTGACTAAGGTTAATGCCGTGATTTTTGTCAGAGCTTCGGCACGCTGCAGAGAAACAGCCCAGAGAGCATTAAGTGCAAGGATATGTCGTGGCGAGCATGTCGTCGTGTTGCCTTCCCTTGGTGGCTGGCTGTGACCCCACGCGTTTGCATCTTTCCCCCTGCAGGCTCCGCAGTGTGGCAGCTGATCGCATCCTTCCTGAGACTTCCCATCTCAGGGACTCACTGCATCGTCGGTTCCACCATAGGGTTCTCGCTCGTGGCGATCGGCACGAAAGGCGTGCAGTGGATGGAGCTCGTCAAGATCGGTAATTGCCACTCTTCTCTACCTGTAAGAAGGAAGGTGTGCACGTCCTAGAGCACGTGTTATCGAAGTTATTTGATGATACGTCCCCTCCCTCAGATGTCAAGGTTTAGAAGACCCATAAGGTGTGGCAAAGCGTTTCCCCTTACATGTTCTGCCAGCGGAGGTCTGAGCCGTCGGGTGTTAGACAGCCAACTCCGCTCTTTCAGACGTTACGTGGCCACCCAGCTGTGGACCTCGGCATGCAGCTGTCTGCACAGGCAGAAGGGGGAATGTATTTCATGGAAATCAGCCTTTCGGTCAGAGAAAGACTAGGCCCCGCTGGGGAAACTGCCTTGAACCAGGATTCAGAGTCCTACAGGGCATGGGGAAGCCTCAGAGTGCCTCACCTGCGTTCCAGAGGTCACCCGGGCTGCCCTGGGGACGCACCCTGGTGTTCCTTCCGAGCAGTGGCCTGCCCCCATTCCGAGTGGTCCAACCACTTACATCCTGGCTCTGCTTTTAACAGAAGTGAATCCGTTCTACCCCGTGTAGCAGCCCACTCACTGTAGGAAATGCCTCTCACCCATGTTCACACTCTGGGTTGCCCGTTCTTTTTATCGGAATCACAGCAGCCTTTGGGGCACAAGGTCAAACTGGATCCCTCACCTGCAGAGCAGGGACACAGACCCCCAGGAAAGTTGCTGTGTCCCAGGCTCCTAGGACAGCAGTTCTCAAGTCTGGCTGCACTTCAGAATTACCTGGCTGAGTGACTGAAAAACACCAACACCCAGACCCTGTTCCAGACCTTTTAAGTCAGAAGACCTTGGGGGTGGAGCCAGAGCTCAGCTAGCCTTTGAAAACTCCCCAGATGGTGCCAGTGTGTAGGCAGAGCTGGGACATACTGGGCTCGAGACTAGAAGTGTCAGAGTTTCAGTGTTCGATGTCAGGAACGAGAGTAGCAGGCTGGACTTGGAAAACGAGATGGAAAGTGGCCACCTTTTCAGCCCACTGCTGTTGGAACAAGAGCCCGTTCTCTGTGTGTATTAACAGGGGTGAGGGAGGGCAGGCCTGTGGGTCAGCGGTGGACTCTAGTCCTGTGACAGTCGCATGCCATCATGCTCCTGTCTGAGCGGAGCTGTGAGCGTGTGCACGTCAGCTCTGCTGGGTCAGGAGCACGTGTTAGCGTCTCAGTCCGGGTGAATCATCCGGGAGTATGAACGCTCACAGATGTGATGATTTCGTCCATCACTGTGCTGTATGACTATGAGCATAATTATGTATGAATTTAACATTCATTGGATTTTTTTTTAATTATTCAGTTGCTTCTTGGTTTATATCTCCACTGTTGTCTGGTTTCATGTCTGGCGTGCTGTTTGTACTGATCAGAATTTTCATCTTAAATAAGGTAAGTCAGGTGATTGTTTTTCATTAAATTTTAGAACTAATTTACTACATGGGAGTCCAGCAATGAAACCATTACGCCTTCTGCTGGTCCTTGTCATTTGAGTTTTAAGAATAGATTATTTGAGGCCCAACTCTGGTGGCACAAGCAGGAGGGCACTACCATGTGAGGCTTGAGCTACGTGTTAGGCCCAGGTTCGGTTCCCAGGCAAAACTGAACAGACCAAGCCCCATTACATGCACCTGTGGCCCTAGCAAACTGGGAGGCCAGGGCGGAGGATGCAGCAGCGAACCCCTCGCAGAAATCTTTCTCTCTCTCTCATTTAAAAAAAAGAAAAAAGAAAAAAAATTATTTGAGAAGATGTAAGGTGATTCCATTAAAAATACACTTTGGATTGCCCACATTCACAAGTGGTCATTTAACCTAAAGCACGTGTAGTGCCATGCTCATTGAGATACTAGGTTTCAGGAATGTTATAGCAGAGGCCTACAATTGTAAGTGTTTTATTAGACAAAACCCCACAGTATTTTTAACTCTTAATAGCTGAAGGTTAGGGACCAGCAGTTGGCATAATGGCTATGTTGCTGGACGCCCATGTAGTCGACCGCGGTTCGAGTCCCAGGCCCAGTGGCTTAAACTCACGCCGGGCATGTATGTGTGCGTGCCCAAGATCCCGAGGCAAGAATGGAGAGGAGAGGATTGTGGCGTGGCCATCCCTCCGGGGGGCGATTTCTCACTTTCTGTCTCTCTGTGTCTTTCTGACAAGCACACGTGCCCTATAGCAAAAACCTCTCAAAAAAAAAACAAAAACAAAACAAACAAAAAAAATGTTGAAGGTTAAATACTATACCTTGTGGAGAACTTTTGAAAATCATAGCACAGGAATGTATTTTCTTTATATTCTTTAACATCGCTAAGCTGTATTGTGTAATTAAAAGATGTAAGATCTAGTCGCAGTGCGATGTTTAAGCCATCAGGCCATCTTTGAGAGTCCTCAGAGTCTCACAGTGCTCGTCGAATACAGTCATTAGGGCACCACCTAGACCTAGCTAGAGTGGGGAGCTCCAGGGGACCTGAAGAAGGGGCAGAGCACTGGGCTTCGTCCCCAGGAACTGCCCTGTTTCTGGGTCTGACATCAGCTCAGCTCATGTGACCCGTGCCCTGACATGTCCATGCTACAACAGTGGGCCTTTGGAAGTGGCCTTTGAGCAGAAGAGACAGCCCCAGTTGGTGCCTTTCTGCAGACATGCAGAGGTCACAGGCAGCAACACACCAGCCTCTGCAGCTGCGTGTGTGTGGGAGGACCTTATCGTGACAGTGCTTTGTGTCCCTGTGCCTGTGCTGGCTCCATTTGCAGCTCGAGCCCTGACCTCCCTCTTCTCTCACTGTTACACAGGAGGACCCTGTTCCCAATGGCCTCCGAGCGCTACCCGTGTTCTATGCCGCCACCATAGCAATAAACGTGTTCTCCATCATGTACACGGGAGCCCCAGGTAAGAATGCCTTGGAAGCTTAACTCCAGCAGACCAGGTGCGTTGTGTGCTAACGGCACCGATCTGTTTGGTGTTGGCCATGCTGTTGGCTGACAGGAAGGAGCAGGACTCCTGGTTGATTGTAGGTGGCGAGAAAGGTAGTACCTGCATTTACTTATTTGAAATGCCCAAGAGGGTGCTTAGTCTTCATTCTGCCATTTACTCAGCGGGTCGCCATAGCAGCTTACTCAGCCTGAGTCCTGGAACAGGGTCTAATCCCACATAGCCACTGGGCTAAGGAAAGCGGCGCTTGGAGCAGTCATTTCCCTAAGTGCACGCAAGGAGTTGAAGCACTCCATACCTCAGGTATGCAGCAGGGGGCGCTCTGAAGAGGGCTGCAGCTGCTAGTGTAGAACTTCCTGGAAACTGCCAGAACAGGTGACCCAGCAGCTGGGAGCTGCACTTTGTATTTTTAGATACTGAAACCAATGATGATGATCTTTTTAGAATAATTCCTCCTTCCATTCTGATTGCTTCTGTTCTTTTCTATTATGGGGAGGACGGCCAGTTAAGAATTAACTTTCCTTGTACGCCCCGAGTAGGAAAAGAGAGAGACTTGCATGTAGTGTCTGCACTTGCACACATTCCACTGTTCAGAAACTGGGACGCTCTGTAACGTGTGTCTGTACGTGTTGTGGGAGACCAGATGTGTCCTGTTTCGGTGGTGAGGCGTACCTCCGTCAGCCGGTGCTGAGGAGTACATCCACTCTCGGGGGCGGCACCCGAGGTCAACGCTGCGTCAGTCTGTGTTGTTTTCGGCCATCAATGTCCTTGGTGGATTGAGATTCAGTGACTGCCCATGTCCTACAGGAAAACATCGCACTCTCTCTGTTCAAAAGATAAAATTTCAGCTAAAAAGCCATGTTGTATTACAGTTGAAAAATGTATCTTCCAAATTTAAAATCCTAATTAACTTCTCAGACTAGGTTGCCTCAATGTAATTTTCCTCAGATTTTATGAGACATGTCTAATTAGATTCTGTATACTACAGTACTGAAAATTAAAACTTAATTTTAAATGATCCCTAACTTTTACTTTGGTATCCTTGTGGTATTTGAATACTGATCCGAAAGGTGGGAGTACTCACTATAGGGGGGCGTCCAGTTACAGGAAAAACACAAAGCCGAAAGCCAGAGTGAGGGGAGCAGAGAGCAGTGGGGAGGGGACATTCTGGCCTCTGACAGCCACAGTTTGACCTCCCTTCAGGACTGTGAACTGTGTTTGTCACAGACGCCTCAGAGCGTCTCAGAGTACATTCCTTAAAAATCAGAAGCAGAGGAAGCAGAGGGGAGAAGCTCCCTAGCACAAAGTTCACTGCATGCCGGATGTGTTCATCCCCCAAAGCATGTGTTCTGGGTGTGTGCACCCCCAGAGCTTGTGTGCCAGGTGTTCATCCCCCAGAGGATGTGCACTGGGTATGTGCATCCCCCATAGCTCGTGTGCCGGGTGTGTGGATCCCCCATAGCTCGTGTGCCGGGTGTGTGGATCCCCCAGAGCTTGTGTGCTGGGTGTGTGCCTCCTCCAGAGCAGGTGCGCTGTGCGTGTACATCCCCGAAGCGTGCACGTGGATCTGCCCTGGAGGGCCACACTGGAGCAGGAGCATCCTTACCCCTGATCTTGCAGTCACGTGCTTGTTCTGAATTCCACATGGGCTCTTGGAGCAAATAAGCTGAACAAGAAGCAGAGCCCCACCCTCAATAGCCAGGCTGCTTCTGGGTTAGTGATTTCAGAGCTGAGCTGCTGAAGGCCTGGGATGCCTTTTATAGTGCCGAGCCCTAGAAATGAGGATAAATACAGATGATTGCTTTTTGTGTCTGCATTTTTTCCCACCCTCTGTTCTTCTTGCTTCTTGGTTCTTCTTCCAAATGCCAGATGAAAACAACTGTGTGATGACTTGTTTTTGTGAAAATGACTGTTTCTCTACTTGGCCTGTTTTCTCCATCTTTCCTTTTTTTTGTCCTTGTCTTTTCCTGCAGTTTTACTTGCTCATTTGCTAGAATAATCAGTTATTTTTTTTTTGAAGAGGTTTTTGCTATAGGGCATGTGTGCTTGCCAGAAGGACAGAGAGAGAGAGACAGAAAGTGAGAAATCACCCCCCAGGGAAGATGGCCACGCCACAATCCCTTCTCCTCCATTCTCCTCCCGGGATCTTGGGCACACACTCACATGCGCCCAGCGTGAGTTTAAGCCACCGGGTCTGGGACTTGAACCATGGTCAACTACATGGGAGTCCAGTGACAGAGCCATTATGCTAACTGCTGGTCCCTGAATAATCAGTTATTGAAAGATGGAATCCAAAGCCATGTGATGGATGCAACCCTAAGGATAATAGGAATACTCAGAGGGTTGTCGTTAGAAATAAATAATAAAAATATATACTGAACTGAGCTTCATCTGAATCAGTCCTTCTAGTCCTTCCAACTCCTCTAGGAGATTGGTGACATTACTCATCCCACTCCACAGGTGGGAAACTGAGGCATCACAGTGCTGAGTCCCCAAGGTCACAGAACACCTACTGTGCAGAACCAGAATTTCAACAAGACTGTGTGGTCCCAAGTGCCAGGGTCTTAGTTACAACTGTTCTAGACCATTCTGTAACTAATAGTGAAAATAACTGAGTCTGGGAAATTTGAAAAGAATGAAGGTTAAGGGGTCAGTAGGTGGTATGGAGGATAAGGCAGCTAGATCCTATATGGCCACTGCATAGTTTGAGTCCTGGACTCTGGGACTTGAAAAACAGATGGAGCATATGTACATGTGTGCCCAAAATCATAAGAGAAGAAGGGATTGCTGCATGGCCATCCCCCTGGGGGTGATTTGTCATTTTTCCTCTCTGTCTCTGTAGCATATGTGCATGTGTGCCCAAAATCATAAGAGAAGAATGGAGGAGAAGGGATTGCTGCATGGCCATCCCCCTGGGGGTGATTTGTCATTTTTCCTCTCTGTCTCTGTCTCAGGCAAACACTTATGCCCCTATAGCAAAAATTTTTTAAAATAAAGAATAGAGGTTTACTGAACTCACGGTTTGTAGGACCAGCAGCCAGGAGCTGCATTTAATGAGAATCTTCTAGCGAGTGGGTAACATGGAGGATAAAAGCAAGTGTTTCTGTGTCTGTGTGTCTGTCTCGTTCCCTGTCCTTATAACCGTCCCAGCGCCCAATCACAGGAATCTATTTGCTGGTCAGTCACTTCTCAAAGACCTCAGCTTTCAACACTGATCAGATGAAGTTTCTCTTAACTGAAGTCTTCACTACACCACTAAGTTCTAGCACTTGAACTTTTGGGTCCATATTCAAACCATGGCATGTACCACAGTGCTATGTGAGAGATACCATCCCTGTTATAGACAGGTATGTTATACACATGTCTTTCCTGTTAGTGACAGGAAAGACAGCATCAACACTAAAGCTTTTTCTCTTCTCTTAACTCTCTTTAAAAATGACTTCCACGGGAACCAGCAGTTAGCGTAATGGCTATGTCGCTGGACTCCCACGTAGTCAACCGCGGTTCCCATCCCGGACCCGGTGGCTTAAAACTCACGCCGGGTGCGTGTGCGTGCGTGCCCAAGATCCTGAGAGGAGAATGGAGGAGAAGGGATTGTGGCGTGGCCATTCCCTCTGGGGGGTGATTTCTCGCTTTCTGTCTCTATGTCTCTCTCTGTCTGTCTGGCGAGCGCACGCGCCCTATAGCAAAAACCTCTCATAAAAAAGAAAAAATGACTTCCAGAGTATTTGAATCCCTAGCTACATTTTAAAAATGTACTCAGTGTACCATCTGGTGTGAAGAAGTGGCCACCCCTTAATTAGAAATATCAAAAACTGGGGCCAGCTGGTGGCATAGAGGTTAGGGAGCTGGCCTTCCACATGGCCACCCGTTGTTCAAGTCCTGGACCCAGCAGCTTGAAAGTACACTGGGTGTGTGTGGACTGGGGGTGGGTGGGTACTTGCCCAAGATCCTGTGGGGAGAATGGAGAAGAGTGGATTGAGGCACAGCCAACCCCCCGGGAGGGGATTTCTCACTTTTTCTCTGTCTCTGTATCTCTAGCAAGTGAACATGCCCTATAGCAAAAATCTCTCTCTAAAAAAAAAAAAGAAGAAGAAGAAAGAAAGAAGAAAAAGAAATATCAAAAAATGCATAATACAGCATCTTGGAAATCATTACCCATCTGGAGTATGACATTCCCTGTTTGAAAGGTGGCTCTAGGCACTTGAGCTGGGCAGCTCCTCTGATGAGATGTGGCATCTCATCACCTCCTAGTTCTCCTCCTTAGTAAGTGAGGGCAGTAGTCGCATCTCCATTAAAGGCTTGCTGTGGTTCCTGAGGGGACTTCAGGGAACTCGGCACCCATTGTCAACTCTGCTGACATCAGAGGCTATCTCTTTACCCTTAGTCGTTTTTGGTTTTTTAGAGATTTTTGCTGTAGGGCACATGTGCTCATGAGAGCACTAGAAAGTGAGAAATCACCCCCCACAGGGGATGGCCACGCCACAATCCCCTCTCCTCTACTCTCTCCCTGAGATTCTGGGAACATGTGAGCGCACCAGGCATGAGTTTCAAGCTGCCAGGTCCTCCAGGACTCGAACCATTGTTGGCTACATAATTAGTCTTGTTCTTTGGCCTTAAGTCATTAGCAAATCCTGAGTCATCCTGTATTTCTGGTTTTTGGGGTTTTTTGTTTGTTTGTTTTTTGGTTTTTTTTGCTATAGGGCGCGTGCGCTCACCACAGAGAGAGACATAGAGACAGAAAGCGAGAAATCACCCCCCAGGGGGGATGGTCACACCACAATCCCTTCTCCTCCATTCTCCTCTTGGGATCTTGGGCACGCACACACACGTGCCCGGCGTGAGTTCTAAGCCACCGGGTCTGGGACGCAAACTGTGGTTGACTACGCTATCTCTTTACCCTTAGTCGTTTTTGGTTTTTTAGAGATTTTTGCTGTAGGGCACATGTGCTCATGAGA